ATTTTTTTTTTTTTTTTTTTTTTTTTTTTTTCACTTCATACTGGCATGAGGTCTGCCAAATCGCTTCTTGCAGTGCCGAATCTTGCAGGGCAAACAAAACCTGCTGCAGATTAGCATGCCCTACTAGGAGTGCACACACATGTGTAATCAGCCTACGTAAACAAACCAAAATGGAAACAGATTAGAAATAATTAAAATTCAGAACAATAATATTGGAGACAAAGCAGCCGCTGACTCTGAATGACTAGATGGTCCTAGTCATTGTCCAGGGTCTGGACCAGAGTACGTGCACGGAGGCTAGGAGCAAAATCTTGAAAGGAATCTCGTTGCAGATTGCCCTGTAGCTACAGCAGCAACCTAATATCCGAGCATGGGACATTCACTCAAGTTGTCCCCCAGTGTTGCTATTTACGGTGTAAAAAGGCATTGCAGGGGTTCACCTGGATGAATAATTAATGCTAAGGAATTCCAATACGTTTTCGGTAGGTGGATTTGCGCCAAGAGGCGGCGGCAGTTGACGTTGTTGCGCTCGGGCTTATATCGGGAAACGGACCGGGGCTGCATGCAAACGGGCCTCTCAAGAAGCCAATACTGAGTTCCATGCATCCTAAATTTTGATTCGTCTGCGTTAAACAGAAAGGCTTTCGGCATGCTTTTTATTTTCGCTAACTGGAGTGCCCGCGGCGACCAAGGGACCTGGGTGCACTCCCTGTGAAATAAACGACTCTTTGAGGAGGCGCGCACATCTTGGGCTGTACTTCGTGTCGTGTCTAGCTTGTTGGGGAGTTTGTACATCTTTGCTAGATCTATAGCATACTTGCTGTTCCCAGATATTTGCTCCCGGTCGGCAATTAGGTCTTTGGTGCAGACAGTGCAAGGTTTAAGCAAGCATAGGATTGAGCGTGAGGGGGGGTCCTAGGGTCTAGGGTTAGGGGTTTGGCGCTTAGGAATGTCAGGTTCTGGCATAACGGGGAGCGGCTCTTCGCCGGCCCCAGATCCCTCCATAGCTGAGTCCATCCAGCGAGCCCAGGCCATCGCTGCCTCTCTCGCCCGCTCTAAGGGTGGCCTCTCAACACCTACAGTGCCAGCAGCGCCAGTGGGGCCCCACTCCTCCACCTCAAGCTCGGGTTTTTCTCACAGACCCCCCTCAGCCTCTACCTCTAGGGGTAGCCACATCTCCCCAAGGGGGGCTTCCAACTTTGACTACGGGCCCCCCCACGAGTCAGGCTTCTCACAAGGGCCTCCACCTGGAAACAGAGGCGGCCTTCACCATGTGTCACCGAGAGGAGCCTCCTCCTATGAGCAAGGGGGTGCCCACGGGCCAGCAGACAAACAAGCACCCCACATCCTTCCGGTACCAGGGAGGAGCGAAGGCTGGAATTCAGTTGACGCTGCAGCAGCCATTGCTGTACAGCAGAAACAGGTGCAAAACAGCAGCTGAAAAGACATCAGCGGTAGAAGCAGGAGATATATCGGCGTTGATGCAGCTTGTTACGTGTCTCCACAACGGAGCGAATTTGTGGCATTGTGTTTATGTACAGTTAATGCAACAACGAGCACGCAAGGCGGCGGTTCGCGCAATGGCCACCGTCTGCGCGGCTATACCTAAACCGGACTTGAGAGACCCGGATCTTTTGGGTGCAGATATCAAAAAGACAGCAGTAGGGCTGACAGAGCATTTGTCGAAGGCTTGACGGGCCGCGTGACTGCATGTTGGAGCTGATTTGCAGCAACTAGTGCACGAGCGGACACGTGGGATGGAAGGGACTTTTCTGCCGTTTTACTGCTGCTGCAGGTGCTCCTGCTTTTCTGGTGTTGCTACTGTGCTGCAGAGACAGCTAGAAAATGGAGTGTGGGTCTTGGACCTCCCGTTGCAGTCTGGGATATGTGGGGTAACTGCAGCAAGCGCAGATGCGTGGCAGCAGCTCCAGCACGTAGAAGTTATCGCATCGTTAAGGCGCCGCACAGGGGCGGGCTTCGTCCTTCGCGGATCTGTGCTGCAGCAGCAACCGCAGCAACCGCAGCAAACGCCTCTAGGGGTATATGTTCGAGTTGTGGGGGAAGATCAGGAGACCGTGTACAGAGGAGCTGTGGCTGCCTGTGAGCTTCGTGCCCATTTTCAGGCGGCTTGAAACTCTGAACCAGAGGTGTTAGAGCTCCCTAAGCCGTAAACCCTACACCATTCCCACTATGTGTTCCCCTTCATTCTAATCAGGGAGATTGTCTCTGTTATTTTGTCTGCATCTCTCCGCAGGGAGCTCGTTGGGCCCCCCTCAATACCTCCCAGCCCCCGCAGACGCGGCAGATGACGAGACGTTCGACTGTGCGACTGCCATGGCAGGCGAAGATGTAGGTATACCTCGAAGAAGCCGGGTTCCTGCGGCTTTTAAAATTCTCCCGTACTTTTTGAAAAGTGCAGAGGGGTAGCAAAGGGGAATTTCGGCGGTTCAGTGCATCGCAAGGTCACTTACTTGCCTACTTGGGATTGGGCATATTTGTATCTTGTGTCTCCGGGCGCATAAAGGGGTTGACGTATTGGCAAGGAGCCGATGTCCTCCTCTGGTTGTCGAGGGCCTCCTTGCAGGTCTCCAAGGATATGCTGGAGGTATCCTGGGGAATATTGAGGACTCTCTGAGTCCTCCATCACAGCGGGAATTAGGGAAATGAGTACTGTTGGGTTGTAGTAATTTGCAGTTGGAGGGTTTTGGTGCTCTGCTGTGACTTCAGGACGAATTTCTTAAGGACGTTTGCCTGCGCACGGGGGCCCTGATAGACATCGAGGCGGACCAGCCGCAAGGTGACATAGCTGCCCACCTAGACCCTAAGCCGCACAACTCTTAAAAGCAAGGCGGTTCAGCCCCACACCCTGCCGACAAAGAAACGTGTCTTTTTCACGGAGCCTATACACTTCTAATGCTGCCCCTACCTGTGCAGAGACATCTTTGCTTTGGGGTGGATATCTATAGCTGTGGGGGTTCGAGGCATTGCCCTGTGGTGTAGCCCGCTCCTTTCTCGGGTTCGATACTTACGGGCTGAGTTCCAGGCTCGGCGATGAGGTTGGCATCATTTGGACGTAGACTGGGAGTTTTGCGGTTTGAACGGTGTTTGTGGTAGGATACTCGCATGGCGGGGGGGAGAGGACGGGATTGCGCTATGCTGCCAGAGCCTGCACCCAAGGAGCTGCCGAGAAAGCTCTGCGGCTGCTCCGGTGGAGGCTCGTCTGCATTGAGGAGGCCTGGAGACAGCACAACGCCCATGGGTTCACACGAGACACATGTAAGGCTGCAGCCATTAACCCCGAAGAGACGACCTTGCCGGTCTTCAGGGGCGGTAACTTGCGCGGTTGCGCTTGCACACAAGCCACACTAAACCTTACCTCCCGTTTTGCTTTCAGTGTTGAACGCGTTAGGCAATGTTTTTCTTAGAGCCTATGACTTATCTACCAAGCGCAAGGGATGAGGGTTTAGCTTTATGCTAACCCTACGGACAGAACAGCGCTTTGTGAGGGGAGGGAAGGTGACATTCGCGGGCCCTAATGCTTGATTTTGTCGGATTTTTTAAAGACCGGTCATTTACCTTCCGATTGCTGGTGTTTGCGTCTCTGCAGCCCCCACAGGTCACCGAGGAGGATGGCGAGAGGTGAGATGGACACCCGAAGCTTCGAACCATAGCCCCTTACCGATAAATTATAACCAGCTGCTGCATATTGTCCGTGTATTCCACGTGAGCGTTTGCCCGCGAGCGTTGACCCGTGCGGTGATTTTGATGCTGCTTGCTTTGCTTGTGTTGCAGTCTCCGTACGGGTTAGTCTCTGCCGCGTGGTAACAGGACCACCTAGTACTGTTGCCCAGGCTTTAGCTGGGTTGTCGGTCTCGTCCTACGCAGTACTACAGTCGAGCAGCTGAGTTCTGTGGAGTTGTATATCGAAGTTGGAGTCTCTCCAGCTGACATCCAAAGTGGAAATTAACTCGCCTAAAAGCACATGCAATCCGTGTATTCTATGGCTCAATATATGCTGACAGCGTTTAATATGCACGCATGCGCTTGATATTTGAGTATGAAATACTGAGTCTCTTATGTCTTTTGCAATGTCTGTCTCCCAGCCCTTCTCCCGGCCAAGACATCAGGGGAGCGGCAGCCGCCTCCTTCTGGCAGTCTGCAATGCCGGACGAGGCGGAGATGATGCGGAGACGCAAAGAGGCAGAAGAGAGACGCAAGAAGAGAGGGCAGAGATCACGGTGAGGCTCAGATTGCTGCCCACCCCGTGTCCTGTCCAGCGCCCTTCCCTGTTTTGTCGAAGAGCGCAGCTGACCTATTCATGAGCATTGCTCTGGGGTGGTCGTGAACCTTTTGGGGCAGAAGCATATCAGTAGACGAGCTGCCCCCCTTTGGGGTGCTGCTTTGTTTCTCTGCCCCGCTATAGCCGTGGTCAAGCGGTTGCGTGCATGCATTTGTGTGTAATTACATAATGTAAATTGCAGTTGTTGTGCTTGTCTCTATGATATCAAGCGATTGTTTGGTGGCCTTTATTGCTGCAGATCGGCTTCTCCAGAGCGGCGGGGCCCCAATCGCCTCTCCTTCGCGCCTCCGCCTGATGAGCTTCTCACGGGGCCGTATGCGCCTCTGGATAAGTAGTAACAATGGGGCTCATGTGCGAGACTGCAGTATGCTGTCGGGATGTACCAATCTTTGCCTTCGTCAACCAGTTGGGCACTAGCGAGGGCTTGCTGTCGCATGTCTAGGCAGCTCTGCGCACGCCACTGGCGGATGGCCAGCAGGCCAGCAGGCTGACTACGACTGCCTGGTTGAAGCAGACGCAGTAGCGGCAATTGCACTAGCGATACCTGCAAGAACAGGGGCAGCTGCTTCATTTGCCCCCCTCTGTGGCGCCTCTGCCGTCTTCCGTTGGCAGCTGGTTGCTAGCTTTTACGGGGCGAGTGCGTAGAATTCTAACCAGAGCGGTGATCCATGTCTTCTTCCTTTTGCATAACATCGGCATCACCCTTTAACTAGAGATAATCAGCGCTTACGCGGCAATGCATATGGTGCCGCTATACTCTATAGTGATGCCTGAGACGCCTGCGGGTGTCTTTCGAGATTAAAAAGGGTCAAACCGAAATGACACAGTTCAGAACACTGCAGACACACATGAGGAGGCTCCGGAAGCACGCCTAGAGAAATTTGGAGCCTCCCAATGAGAAGTGTAGCTGCAGTGGTAATCATACGTCAGTGTTGTCTTCAGTGGTAGCCTCAGGACGCATGATGAAAAATGATAGGAGGCTCGTATCGACTTAAGGTATAGTGCAATGAAGGGGAGGCAACTACCACCTGCCTGCTGATTCTGCTGTTGGATTGGTGCTAAAGTTCATTTGGTTGCCCCTCCAATATCGCCACCGACAGCTCCCTGCGGCGAAGAGCCAGGTGGTGGGTTCTGGGGGTGCTGCATATCATGCATACTTGGCCCTTTTCGCCCTGCATGCTGCAGTTGCTGCATAAGCAGTTGCTGCTGCGCATGGGAAGTACCAGGATTGAGGCCTGTGTAGATGCTGCACTCTGCAGTTTGTAAGCTTTGCTGGCGTTGCAGTGGTCCCCCAGGTGTCAGGGGTTGCCAGTAGCTTGGGGTTGCCCCGCACGTCCCAGTGAAAGAAGCCCCGGCGGGTGGTGCTGCTCCAGCCTGTGGAAGCATCATGTGCTGCACGTAGCCAGCACCGCTGGCATAGGCGTAGGGGGCCCCCTGGATACCCCGTGAGATTCCCCTGGGAAGCGTGGTGTGCAGCGCTGCAGCAGCAGCTGGGGTTCGCGGTAGGCAGTAGCTACCCCCCAGATGTGGCAGGAAGTAAGACTGGGGCCCTTCTCCGCACTGGACAAGGGAGCCCGTAAGGCCTGCAGACGCGTACAAGCGCTCATCGCACGGAAGTCTGAACAAAACAAAATACAACTATCAATGCTAAGGAAAAAGCCTCTCCTCCAATACCGACGAAGACACCCAATGTACACGCCGAAACTCACAGCGGTGTATTGACTGCTGTAGAAATTAGATGCTGCGGCGAACTAGGCGAAAACGTCAGTGTAAAGTTAGAGCGGATAATGCTGAATTCAAGGTTCTGTCGTCGTGGGCTGCTGTGAGCAGCCTCTTTGACCTACCCTGATGTTGCAGCTGCTTCAGTTGCTGCTGTTGCAGCTGCACCAGCTGCTGGCGCTGCAGGTGCTGCAGTGGAGAGTCGCTAACCGACGCAGCAGTGGATGCTTCTGTAGCAACGCAAGGGGCCATCCGGTCCTTTGATTGCCCTGAGTCATCTGGACTTATGTCTTCTTGGGCTGCTGCCGCTGCTGTTCCTGCTGTTGGTCCTGGTGCTCCGTCATGGCTGTCGCTCGACAGCAACGCCTCTTGTATAAGGGGAAGGTTCAGCAAAGCCACGTAGAGGGAATGCAAGTGAGGTGTTTCGTTGAAGTAGTGCATTTCCACCTCTGAAGCTTCAGAGTCTGCTCGCTGCTGCTGTTGATGCTGTTGCGTCTTATCACTGTTGGAGGTTCCCTCGCTGCTGCTGCTGATAAGGCACTCGGCAATTCGTTGGTCGTCGTCAATAAGCGAGAAGAGAAAATAATCTGCAAGGGAATCTTCCTCCCCAAGGAAGAAGGGCTGCATCCGGGTGTCCATGGGGCCCCTTATGGATGCGTCTAGAGAAACGGTGGAGGCCCTCAGCGAGGTTTCCAGCCCAGGTTGGGCGCATGCGTTCTTGCTGTTGAAAAACGACAACAGCTTCTCGGCTTCCAGGTAGAAATGACGTCGGCTCTGCGAGAGACAATGACACAGCCTACATCACTCTTCTGCAGATATTGCTGCTGTGTTCTGGTTGTGATGCTGCTGCAGTACCACTCAAAGTTGCCCGCGTTGCTTTCAACTCACCTTCAGGTAGTCGCTGACAGCGTCCCTTGCCATCGTATCAGGGGACAGAATTGATTGAATTGCCGCCTGCTGAACATTGAACCAAGTATTGAGGTCCATTAGCTGCAGCACAAAAGAGTAACGTGTAGGGGGAAGACTATAATTGAGCGCGTGGCACTGGAAGCTCCACATGCAGCCTTTTTCATGCAAAGACCTCATAAGCAAAAAATACTGCACTATTATCAGCTGCAGCAGAAGAGGTACCAGCACAAAAAAGAACGGGATGTGCCCACCAATCTGTCTTGTAGTGCATCCTTGAGGTGGTCGCTGCCGTACTGACCGAGCTTTTTGGCCAAATACCGAAGACACACTTCAGGCCCCCCACATACCACATGACCCTGAGATGCACCAACAGCCCTCAGCGCAGCGTAAGGGAGTGGGGTCGTGTTACGTAACTCCTAACAACTTGTGTTACGTACCCCTAACCGTCAAGGCCCATCCATCTACATCAGCTGACCCGATTTCGGCAGCTCTAGTAAGACAGCCAAAGTCTTCACAGGTAATGTACAGAAATTCTCTAATTTCTACCACAAGGAGGTGTGGGTTTGAGGCTCCAGACATGCATTTATGTCAGTGTTCGGAGTGCAGGTGGTGTATGATAGTACACACATCGTGTATGAGGAGGGGCATCGTGCTGTCTGCAGGGACATGCCGAGCTTCAATGAGGGCTAAGACGTCTCGGGTGCACTCTTCCGCCTCGTCGGTTGCCACAGAGTGCTTTACCTGCTTGCCTAGAAGGTACATGTGCACGCTTCTGGGGACAGCAAGAGCACATACAAAGGGGAAGCAGGGGCTGGGGCTAGGTCTAGTATACACGGCAGGGTAATTTCAAGCATTTTCAACCAAACTCTAACCTTGAAGCGTCCAAAAGTGAGCGGCCTACCCTCCTTCACCCAGGAAGGGCTCGCGATGGGGTACATACAGCCGGAGGTCACCCAACAGCCTCATGGGGAGCAGCTGGGTAGGACGCAGCTGAAAAGACACCGCAGCACAGGAAGCCCTGAGTCCTATGGGAGGCGCTACACACTGGAAACCTAGGAATCACGCTGGGGACATACCATCGCACAGATCGGCTTCACAGGCTCAGCAAATGCAGGGGCTCCATACGCTGGCCTTATCTCCTGCTGCAACTGCATCGCCGGCTGCCACTGTTGCTGCAGCCATTGCTGCTGTTGCTGATGCCACTGCTGCTGTTGCTGTTGTTGCCACTGCTGCTGCAAGGTTGGAGGTGCCACGTTTGACAACGGAAAGGAAGGGTATACGGGGGGGTTGGAATAGCTGGGGGATGGCCCTCGAAACATCTCAGCATAGCGTAAGGGCCCTGATGCAGTGCCACTTAAAGAAGGGGCCCCCATGAGATCACCTTTTAGAAACTCCGCCGCTTGATAACTGCTACCATTTATTTGCTGGTGCAGAAACTGCTGTGGCTGCTGGTGGTGCAGTTGCTGATTCTGCTGTTGTTGAATGTGGTTGGGAATGCTCTGCACGGAAACGCAAGGTGGCGCCTGCCTAATGGAAGGAGGCAGGCTTGCAGCTCTCTGGGAGAGAGCAGCTGCCTCTTTTTGCACCACATCGCGTTGGTGCTGTTCTTCTTGCTTATGCTGGTAACAGCGGCGCTCATGCTGCTGTGGGATATGTTGTTGTTGCTGCCGTTGAAGGTGGCTGGGTTGTTGTGGCTGTGGCTGGCACGGGTGCTGGCTCTGTTGCTGTTGCTGAGGCTGCAGCAGAGGCTGCTGCTGAGTTGCATGCCTACCCATTTGGATATCTAACCCGTTTTTATGTCCGCCTTCCCCGCCGTTCCAGCGGATATCGGGTGCAGCAGCCAGCTGCTGTTCGTTACTCGGAAAACCTGACTTGTTTAAACAGTCATGCACATTAAACGCAATATATTTATTGGGCATAAATGGTTTTTGAAGTGGACGACGGATTGCCGGGAAGAGGATGGCTGTGACCCCCCCGTTGTCGGTAGGTCGGTCAATCACACAGGCTGCGACAAATCGTAGACTCCAAAGCCTGAACCCAAGACACTGCACCCTACTCCCAGGTTCGTAATTTTTCAAAAGTAAATGAGACAAAAATGTGTGGGCAAATTCAGTGCAGGACCTCACCAAAGGGTAGTTCCGTGTCTGCGCAGCCGACGGCGGACTGGCACACACGGGGGCTTGTAGCAAGTCGTAAACCCTTGATTGAAATCCAAATTCCTAGTTCCGAAACATTCAGTCTTGCTATTTTACACATAGGAGACGTGTTTCAAAAAATGCACACTACGAGTGCGCGGATTTGCGGGCATGTGGCCACCGGGTCCCTTAAAGAGGTCTGCATTATTTTGCCCCGCGCCTCCTGTTTCTGTTAAGATCGCAACGCCCGTAGTTTTAGACCACAAAGCAAATAATATTTAAGTCTCATGAGGTCAGGAAAGGATACGCGCAGAGCTTGGTCGAGATGCTCAACCTCAACCCACTGGTCCCGTGTGACCGCAAAACGTGCGAACGGCGACAAGAAGCCACAGTAGTAGCATGGGGGCGGCTTCGACACAAATCGGCCACCCCCTAATAAGAGGAGTGTATAACACCATCGCGATTCCTGCATAGAAAGGCTTCCGAATGCCGCCAACTGAATGCTGGAGAGGGTCCGTAGCTCCCCTCGCAGGCGGCAGGGAGCCTAGTGGGCAATCAACAACATTTCAGCGGCAGGCCAGTGGTCCCTGGTTCTTGCATATATTGGGAATACTACAGCGTACTGTCCTACGATAGAGGGGAGGAATAGAGGTCCCCTCCTACCTGACGCACTCGCGTGATCTCCGTCCACAAATCTATGATGCATGTGCATGAATGCAGAAGCCCCCGCGAAAGATATCACTGTCACTCCATAGGTCTCAGGCAACCTTGCTGATGGACTTGCATATGCTCATGAGTACACGCTACCACGAACGTGAGCACTACTCACGAATCCGTCTTTTTCGATGGAAACCTACGCTGGACCAGCGGGAAATTTGGATTTGCCTCACAAGCACTTGACGCAAAATCACAGAGATCAAGAAAATGACCCATGAGATAAACATATTCACTTACACTGCGAAGAACGCGTCTGTATTGTTGGCTTCAATAGGTTTCTGAGTGAGTTAGTGCACGTAGTGCACTTGAGTTCATCACGCAAAAATCTACGAATGGCAGAGACCCCCTATGAGAATTCCTGAGGTCTTTCTAGAAAAGAAATGAGCGAGTCTGTTAGGGAAGGGGCAGTAGCAAAAACTGAGCAAACGCAACGGTGATTAGCCGAATTACAAAGTACGGCAAAGGTAGGCTGTTGTTCAACCGCATGTATCTTCTTCCTTATGCAATGTAGAATACCTTTCATCCTGAGCCATAGAGCCTCATATTGCCGCCGAAGTTAGTTGCAGATCAATAGCTCGGGTGATACGCATGCGTACATCAGCAGCCTCTGCGGTAACGTAAATTTCTCATGGTTTGAGACTAAAAAGAGGTGCTTCCAAGCGCAATGCCATCCCCAGGATCCTGTGGGAGTAAACAGTTCTTGCTGAGTGCAGCAAACTGCGGAATTGCTCACATGACGCCCAAATGAGTCTCCAACAGGGAGGTGAGGCGCTATAGAAGAAAGAGGTCTTGGGCGCTGACGGTGGCACACACCCGGGAGGGGGAGACGACCAATGCGCAAATGCTTGGTGAACATGTTTGGATTCTTAGTGACCCCCAGGGGAGTGGCCCCCGCTAGACGCTTCCTTGCCCATCTGCACGCACACAACAAAAAAAGGCACAAGAAAGTACCCAAGATGCGCGCACCTGCCAAACCGCTGCAGCCTGAGAGCACTTGAAACGCTCCTCTCCAGTCATTCCCCCCCGTAGCCCCTGGGAACGATCCACCAGGGAACGAACAACCCCTGCGCGCTTTCTTTATGTCGTAAGATATCAGTATAAATGAAGGTAGTGTCTACGTGTGAGAAGTTTCGACGGGATAGAGGCGGAATGCGAGGCATGCAGCTCGCCTCCGTTCACCAGACCACTGACAAGCACCAGAGGTGTCAAGTAGACACAGCAGCATTCCTCATGTGACGTTTTACGCGATGTCAAGGCTGCGCGTATCGAGAGGTAAGAAGGGGGACTGACAGCAAAACAGAGGTAATGCCCAGCACCCCAACGGGTCTGTCTTACATTGGCAAGCTTGGTAGTGACCCTAGCATAAATGGGCTTCCCCGCTAGCTCCACAGTTACATATATCGAGATGAGGCCACAAACACCGATCATTGTGCGCCGAAATATCGGCATCAGCACGGTACCGGAGCCGTACGTCATGCTTGCGAAAAGAAGATGCAAGGCTACGAACTGTTGCACTGAATTTGTGTAAACAGCAGATACTCGCTGGCATGCATAATATAAGGAAGTGAACTGTACTTGTCTCCAGAGGGAACCGTTCTCGGACTCGAACTAGCGCCGATCACAGCCCCAGCAACACTCCCACCACATGTGGCCCCTACCGCATGCAAAAAACTCCACGCCAATACAGCCACTGAAGAAAGTTAGCTTCTCGGCGTATGTTCTTGCAAGTTAACAGGAAGGACATGCTGCGGACAGGTACTGCAGGTTTGGTCACTGCGTGGTCCGGCCGTAGCCAAGCGGCCGCCTGCTGTTCAAATCGCCGAAGAGTAGAGAATGGGGTGCCTATGCGACTTATGACCACAAACTTAGTTTTCATTTGGTATCAGCTTTAACCGTTGCTTTGTCTCGTGTTTGCTGTGTGATTGCTGTGTGCGGCGCGTGCAACGGAGCCGGATGTTCTCCAACTCAAAGCCGTATTCCCTGTGTGCCGCATGGTGTCTCCGAAGTTGGTGCATGCATCTCTAAAGTGCAGTTTGGCTACTTTTGGCCAGTGTTGCGCTCAACAATTATCTATAGAGAATTTGCAGAGCACCTTGATGCCCCTCCTGCTGCAGGACAACCCCACATCGAAGCATAGCCACGCCTTCCATTGGGACAGGCAGTAGCTGCGATGATCATTGTTATAGCCGGGAGGCCAGATATGTAGCGCTGATCAACCCTGGAATACCAAGGAAGCGAGGATTTGCTCGCTAGCTCAGGTGAGTTTGCCTTGAATAACTCTCGCGCCTACCGAGGCGTGCAGGAGGTCAAGTGCCGGGAGGCACTTGACCTCCAGTGTTCTGGTTAGTGGCTTCGGCTATTCCACCGCCGCTCGACACGTTAGCTTTTACCTCACTATATACTTTCCCGTACTGCAAATCCTACCATGCATGCCGGTCTTCTAGAAGGATTTAGCTCATCACCGATAGTCAGTTAAATCATTTCCACAAAAGAGCAGTAGAGCTTATCTTCCAACCGTGACCTTCCTCCCTCCATCCGGCTAGCAATTGTCTGTGGCGACGAACTTGTCACTTTCAGCTACGCATACAGAATTTTACGCACAGTGAATCTGTGTATACATTTGGTAAATGCGTGCATTTGAGGGCAATTGTGAGGGAGGCCGCCTTTCTTCATGAAAAAAACTGAGAGCCTGAGGGTTTGCACTCCTCCAAAATCAATTTCATTGCAGATTGTCGTGGTATCTGCTTTTTCGAGTGCATCAATGCACTGGAAATGTAAAATCGTCTTAAGATGCAGCATAGCAATGTTGGCGCATGCAGAGTAGGAGCGTATTTGCATGCTACCTGTACAATGCTTCCTTCAAAAACACTGCGTAATAAGACGAATGCGCGCAGCTCTCAAAAAAAAGCAACATCGAAAGAACTGCGGGATAAATCAATAATGCCACAGTGCTTGTCGAGCCAATCGCTGCATGAGCGAAGAAGCCGCGCATGTACATCAAGCAAAACGCAACGGTGCACCTTGTGTGTCAGAGCATTTTGACATGCCCGACGAGATAAGCTGCAGAACCTAGAAAAGGCTTGGAACAGACAGGGAAGCAACCTGTCACCAAAAACGCAACAAAAGGCACTGTTTAAAAAACTCTTCCATGAATCGGGATAAGCCCACCTTCGCCGCTCATCGGCGTGTTTGCCTTCGTTGTCCTTCCCTTACTTTTTTCATAAGTTTGCCGCCGCGGTTCATATACTAACTCTTCCATTTCAGAGTAGTAGGTGCGCATGGCAACAGCTGCCTCTGTCATCTCCTTGAGTGACCCTGCGGACTCCATACTCTCCTTTGCTGCTTTGAAGCCACTCTCCAACACCTGCATCTTTTGCTTGTCAACAAAAGGGTAATGTGGGTGTGCTGCTATGGTAGCCTCATTTTGTGTCATATGGTCGACATCTTGCTGTAGAATATCTATTAAATGGAGACTCAGAAACTGCAGAAGAGCTTGTTGCTTCATCTGGATTATAGAATTCCCGATATTTTTCAGTCCTTCCAGCACCTGTCCAGCAGTCGACACCTTGTCCATCGAATTTAACACGCGTAGGGCAGATTCGCCGTAACCCATTTCCCTCTTAGAAGCTTCCATTGATTGGTCCATCCTTTTGAGTATACCTCGGGCAACGCGAGCATGCTGCATTTGTGCTGCCGTTGCAGAGGGAAATGTGCCTTCTTTAATGATATTTGCAAGCTTCCCTTGGACGTTGTAGTAGCAGCGCTGCGTGATTTCATCCTTCCAAGCAAAAAGCTTGCGGTATTTTTCAGTCAGTTCCTCCATAAACTCTTTGCTCGCCTTGTCCAGATCCTCAACCTTCGGTTCGAATTCAGTAAGCACTCCCAATATTCTGTCAAGATCTGCAGATACCTCGTCCTCTGCTTGTTGACAGGCAGAACAAACAGCAAACATGTCTTGGAGCGTACCCGATTTTCGTATGCTCTTGGCAGGAATCGAAAGCCCGGACACCTTATCGGAGATTTCCTGCACCTCTCTTTCAACTTTTTTAAGGAAAAGCCCCTTTTCTTGCAGAGATGCTTCTTCTGCAGATCCTGATATATTCTGCAGGGCCCTCTGAGTTTGCTGCAGGAGCATTCGCACCTGATCAAGGCTCAACTGAAGCCGCCAACGCTTGGCCTCTCTCTCCGCCAACATCGTCACCTTTAAACCACTAAGTGAGCCACTTACTAAACCCTTCGCAAGTCTTTCTGTGTACTGCTGCGCTTCCAGCGTGGACAGCAAAGAGTTAACCTTAAGGGCAGAAGACTCCAGCCACTGGCCATCGTCATTCTGTGAGAGTATCGCTGATTCCATCAGACATCCATGAATTTTCTTTGTGCGAATAAAGAGGGCCTCTGAAAAGTTATACACTGAAGATAAATATTGCAAGAACGGGCCCACAGCGGTTTCGTCGTAGGCCTTCAAAATTTTCATTTCGGCAACCGGGTCAGGATTATTCGCATCCAAGAGTGGATGGAGAGAAATAACTTTGCTACCCTGTGCAATTGTTTCAGCATGCTCTATTATTTTATTGCGCAGCATTTCCACACAACTTATCGCAGCATCAACGGATGCGTGCAACTCCGCTGCCGCCCTCCCTTCACGCTGAGCCCTTTCGGCTTTCTCCAGATTTTTCCGCAATTTTCCAATCAGTTCGGTAGCCTCTGGAGCCTCTAACGCAGCATTAGTCATTGAGGCGGACTTAAAGAGGCCTCTGACCTGCTGTAGGAGTGCATTCCTGTTGGAAGGAGGAGCCCGGTCCTGGCGGTGCTTCGCAAAATTGGTCGATTTCCGTCGGTGGATTTGAACTGCCACCGCAACTGATATACCCAAAGCCACGAGAACCGCTAACTTTCGAAAGATTCGGCCTCTCCTTGTGGGAGACGCTGGTGGCTCCGACGGTGTTTTCTGGGGAACTGGCTCGTCTGAAACCCCCTCAGACACGTCAAAAAACGGACTTGTCACATCGGAATGCGTCGTTAGATACGAACTCCATGGATCTAACAAGTCTGGTGTAACTGAAGCGGTAAATGTTTCCAGGCCGGCCGCAGGCCACACGGCCCGCCATCCCAAGGTAAGGATCAGTAAAAGATGCACACCTAATAAGTTCCTCTTATTCTGAAAACCCATTTTGAGTTATAGAAACAGGGTTTCTACAAAATAAAATAGTACATGAGAGCGCGAAAAGCCCCCTCGTTCTGAGCTTGTTTCTCACTCAAGCACAGCTGGCAGAACCACCAATTGTCCGGGAAATATCGTGCTCTCGCCATATCGCGAAGGCACAAAAATTTCCCCGGCATTCGGTCTTCCAGCCCGTCTGCATATATTTTCTCGAATACGAGCCCGAAACAGGAAAATAGTTATTCAAAATGTATCGGTAGGCGGCCTCACCGTACAAGCCCAGCAACGTCTACCAGTGTGCATAGAGCCCCACGTTTGTCCTTGACCTGGGAAAGCCAAATCAGCTAAATTGTTCTGCGTCTTAACTTAAGCTCTCCTTTAACTTAAGTTAAATGGAAAAGATGTGAGCAAATGCGTAAATTCCCTTGGCTTCGCGACCGTGGAGAGGTGGTTTTCTACATAGCGCTCCCAAACTCCACTCAAAGATCTGCACCCCTGTAAGCCTTACCTAGTGCCTTTGAATAGATCCTGAAAAACGAAATCATTTTTCTGTAAAGATGCATGTAAGGGCGTCGCCACGCCCTACACCACTGAAATATCAAATCCAGAAATCGCTGAAGCGTTATCTTGCACATTCTGTAAAGCTGCACAAAGTGCAGGTGCAGCTCAGTATCGGCGGCGCGGACGTTTCGCCCGGCTACGCAAAACGTACCTCCGTCGATACTGTAGAGCTTCGCCCCTCGCCCACTGTTAAGCTTAGCTGTAACTGCAACCGAATGCATATCTGTGGATTATGGAAAATGCAGTTTGGGAACGCAGTTGCTGAACGCATGCCTTGGCAAATGACTATCAAAGGGGCCAGGAGACTACAATTTGGCCATACATAGCCACACGTGCAGAATACATTGCCTGACTCGTAGGGTGTCGAGAAAGTCCGTTAGCAAACGCGTTGCTGACACACACGGTGTGCTTGAGCGCGATGCCGCACGGTGGGAGCAAGCAGGCCCATCAAACAACCCTTTAATTGTCAGAGTCTTGAAAACTCTTCATCAGGTGTGCCGCGGGTTGATGCTAGGTTTGAAGGATGAAGTGCCTGCCACATCAGTAATGCCGACACGATTTAATTCCTCAAGCGATTCAAGCGATTCGGTGGAGCGCTTTCTCGTTTACCGGATACTTCTGCTTGTCTCCATGAAACAGTATAAACACCAGGCAAGGGTTTGCTGCTTTTAGAATTGTTGGATTCCTGCGAGAGAATAACCCCAACTGCTGTTGTACTTGCCTAGGCAAGTTGGA